TGCTTGGTTTCCATTTTCAATTGCGTCAAGAAACTTTAAAATTTTTCTTTTAATTTATTCAATGATCTATTGCTTGTTCAGGAGCATAGCCTTTAATTTTCAAAGATTCATATATTTCCAGGGTTTCTTCTGTGGTTGATTTCTAATTTCAATTTATTGTTGTAAATAAAGCTAACTGAATTTTTAAAAATTTATTATTAGATTTGAAATGACTTGTTTCATGGCCTAACATATGATCTATTCTAGAGAAGGTTTCATGTGCACCTAAGAAAATGCATATTCTGTAGCTATTAGAGGGAATGTTCTGTAAATGTCTCTAAGATCCATTTGGTCTAATGTGATTCAAATCCCATGTTTCTTTGTTAATATTGTCAGGATAATCTGCCTTTGATAAAAGTGAGGTGTTGAATCTCCCAACTACTATTACAGATATTAATTTTGCAGTCTCTCTCTCCTTTAAGGTCTATTAATGTTTCTTTTACATATTTATTAGCTTCCTAATTTCACATAATAATTGTCACCTTTCCTTTTGCATTGCTTTTGTTTACTGGCACATATCCTTGGACCTTACATGATACTCACAAATTACTTCCTGAATTAATGAATAAATAAACAAGGCCATGAAATGGAGGATCCTCTTCCAAATGTTCTTATTTCAAGATATGCATTATGTTATTTTTAATTCTTCACTATATATGAATCTAGATTTAATGGCTCAATCAGTCAACCCTAAAGTTATATTTTTGCTTTTTGTTGTTGTAATTATTCACAAATTATACTAATGCCTCAACTGCTATGTTTTAAACTCACTGAGAATAAAGGCATACATTTTTTTAAATATTTATTTTTTAGCTGTAGGTGGACATAATACCTTTATTTCATTTTTATGAGGATCAAACACAATGCCTCATGTGTGCTAGGCAAGCACTCTACCACTGAACTACAACTCGAGCCCCTAAAGGCATACATTTTTCAGTCTCATTTCCTTAAGTGGTACAACATGGTACTTTGCAAAACTGGGTCTTCAGGAAATGAGTGTGGGATAAATTAATTAGAGAATATGAACTGGTACTTTCCTAAGTTCTTTCTAAAATATTGTTTATCACCTATATTTTTGCTTTCTTAGGTAAAGGCAAAGATTTGATTATATATTTACTTGTAAAATGGAATAAAATTTTTTGAATCTCTATAAACATCTATTAATCCTTATTACAAAAATGCAACTTTAGATACAAACTATGAACATGTTTTTACATTAAGCACAATAGTAGAGAGGCTAGTAACTATGCAATAGGTTTACAAATAATACTAGAAATACACAGAAACTCAGAAATTATTTTTTTGTTTTGTTTTGGGGGATACCAGTGATTGAACTCAGGGGCACTCCACCACTGACTGAGCCACATAACAGCCCTATTTTGTATTTTATTTAGATACTTGGTCTCACTGAGTTGCTTGACCCTCATTTTTGCTGAGGCTGGCTTTGAACTCTTGATCCTTCTGCCTCAGCCTCCCAAGCCACTGGGATTATAGGTATGAGCCATGGTGATGGCCAGAAATTCTTCAATGTACTTAAAATATCAGGTTTTGCAAAATTAATATGGGTAGTGGTAGAAAAATAATATACCTCTTGCTAAAATTAGATAAAACAAATATTTCCAATTAGAGTAGTAAAATACAAATATTAAAAGTATCTGGGTCCATCTTCATCAATTATAATTTTCACAGGATGCAAATAGTTTCATGCCATGTAAAAACTGTAACAGTAATAGCCATGACAAAATAAAGCTCTAAAGTAAATGCCACTCTAGACTCTAATTAATAGTAGAATTGCTATATAAACACTGTTGTTTGTGAGTCAGAGAATGTCTTGAATCTAAAAATACATAAATTATGAAACAACACTTTTATCAATATTTAAATTTTACCAATAAATCCCATAGGAACCAAAATTAAAAAAAATCAAATGAACCTTTTCAATTACATTGATATTTCTTACAAAGTATATTTGTATACTTTCTAAAAGTCATCAAACAATAATAAAAATTCCTATTGTTGTATAGCATTTAACATCTTGCAAAATATATATTTACTGATATGATTCTCACAAAAAATGTTACAGGACATTACTGTTATTACTTCCTAAACCACAAATGATGTGAAGTTTAGAGCTTGGACTGTCAACTCTCATGACTCCAACTTCAATGTTCTTTTCATTATTTCACTATTTGTTACTTTTTCTCTTGTCTAAAATCCCATTTATTTCATATCTTCCTCCCTTAAGACATCTGTCACCTCATTTATGTACAGCTTTTATAATCTAACAATACATTATGAATTCCTTCACTAGGATTTAATAGACACTTATTAAATTTCTGTTAAAATACCTACTTTTTTTATCTTCTTCTAGGTAACAGGTATATGAGGAAAGAAATAATAGAATCTTAGCTTATGGAAGATACATCTGCACAACATGAAAAAGGCCTGAAAACTCCAACAAAACTGTCTATATTACCTTAAATTCTGGTTTTTAACTGCCTGAAGAGTTCAATATTACATAGTGAGAGCTCACTAGAATAGAATTAAGTGTAGAAAACCTGAGGAATTGAAGGAAATACAGGTTTTCGCATCTTTAATAGAGATACTTGCAAAATTTTACAAACAGAAAGAAGTCAAGTAAAATATTCCAATGTGAACTTATAATAATGTTTTATATTTAAAGGAAAATATTAAAATAGGTTATATTTTGTAAGTTTTCTCTTTCCTTTTTGTTTCTAAAATTATTAATTTAAATTTGTATAGCTACATTTCAAACTAGAAGTGGTAGTAAGAGAAACATTTCACATTCAATGTATGATTTATTTCAAAAATTATAACTTTTAGGGTTTAGAAAATAGAAAATAAATTGTAGTTAATTAGTTTATACTGACTTTACCTATGATCTTTCCTTCTATATTACCAATATGGTCACAAATTGTAATACAGTAGGTTATCTACATCCATAACCTTAAAGGGACATACAGTTCAAACAGTTTTCCATGGAAATAAAGATTAATAATCTTTGAAATAGTATGGTTTCTTAAAAATTAGGCTGACACATAAAATAGGGCAAGCATGATTATCCAGTTGAGGTTTGAATATTATGCAAAGTTAACAAACAGTTTCACAACTACTCTACATACTTTAATAGACTTGTTTCATTTACCCATCTGAATGGTATTCATTTTCTTTTTTCTTTTTTTTTTTTATATTTCTTTAGCTGTAGTTGGACACAATATCTATTTATTTTTATGGGGTGCTGAGGATTGAACCCAGTGCCTCACATGTGCGAGGCAGGCGCTTGACCACTGAGCTACAGCCCCAGCCCATCATTTTTATTTAACTACAATTGCTAGATGTGGATACACCAAATGCTACTGAATCATACATTTTAAAATGGTTGATTTTATGACACGTGAATTTCACCTCACAGACACACACACACACACACACACACACACACGCGCGCGCGCGCGTGCGCACGCTTGTATATACATATTATATATATATAAACATACATATATTTGTACATATGGATAGATGTATAAGTCACTAAGTTACCTAAAGCTCTATTAGGTTCATTTAATTTTCATAGTTTGATCTTTCCATAAATCAATTAGTATCACATCTTGAAAATGCATGCCATTTGAAATAATGAAGTGAAAAATTTCAAATGGGGCAGGGGGGATTCCATCAAAATAGAAGAAAGACTAGATGAAGTGACTGAGGGGGAGAGAGAAGAGATTGCATAAGGGAAAAACAGAGAAATGTGTATATAAATGAATATACAGTAAACTCACCATCATGTATATACACAAGATACAAACCCATCTCCTCCCCCAAAATCTGAAAGTAAATAGCAGGAGAGAGGGAAGAGGGAAGGGAAAAGGGAAATCCAGGGAACTGAACTTGAGCAAATTATATTCCATGCCTTTTAATTATGCCCAAATGAATTAAAACATTATGTATAACTAAAAAGGAACAATTAAAAATTTTACAAAAAATAACAAATAGAGAAATCAATTTTTCATACACCAAAATCTTGCCATTAAAAATTTCTCAAAAGGTTTATGCAAAAAAAATTGAATTTACTCTTCATCTGTTTAATGCTCAGCAAAGGAAATGTAACAAATATATAAAGTAGTTTATCAATACTTAAAAATTTTCAAAAAATAATTTATCATTAGCTGGGCATGGTAATCCCAGTAACTCAAGAGACTGAGTCAAGAGGACTATAACTTCTAGGTCAGTCTCAGCAATTTGGCAAGACCCTTCCTCAAAGCAAAGAAGGACCTGGGGATGTAAGTCAGTGGTGAAGCATGCCTGGGGTCAATCTCCAGTACCAGATAATAATAACGATAAAAATGATAATTTAGCAATGTGAATGGATCATTTTTGAAATTTCACTATTTTCTGCTTATTGTATGTTAATACCAAAAAGCATTATATATAAAGGAAAAATCATAATTCTTAATGACAAAACCAATATTGTCACGTAATATTGTCTCATGCATTAAAAAATCTAATTACCACTATTCAATACTATATTTCTTAAAAATTTCTCATGGTACCATTTTGAAAGAAATTTCAAGGGACAATCTCAAAACATTTCATAATTTTAAGTTTCCTTAGAAAAAAAGAAAAATAATGATATGCACATTATTTTATTTTTAATTTAGAATACTTTTAATGCTCAAATTTAACATATTTTAAATATGATACATTTAAATTTACTTAAAATGTATAAAGTCCATTTTAATGCAAAATACTTAAAATACATATTTCCTTATTAGGACTTAACATTTTAATTAATTTTGGAGCATCATATTTAAGAAATTAGAAAAAAATTATGTGCGAAACTTTAAGTATTATAGGCATCTATCACAAACCATTTATTATTATATTATAATTATACTCCAAACTACATCAAAATACACATATGAACTAAACTGAAAACGTACATCAACAAATTGTATGATAAAGTGTCTCCTCTGTCCATCAGAATATACAGAAAGGACATATTCACCAGGTTTCCCATGACTCTCTCGCACCAAGAAGTCTCCTTGTTGCTTTAACAGATCTTGTGCTTCTATTCTGGGAATTGCACCATGGTACCAATCTTGTTCCGCCAGGGGCTTCTCACTTATGGAGATCACATCAGAGAGCTGAACAAATATTTTTTAAAAACTAAATTAGAGAAAACAGTAATTTTTGTCCTGGTAAAATTCATAGCAATCTATAAATATTTTTTACATGTGTTCCTCACTTTTATTTACCAATAGAAAATTCTATATGATGATCTGAAATTTTTATAATGTTTAGAGAAAATATCTTCTGGAGCATCAGTGCTGAAGTTTAGCATAAATACAATCCTTCAATACTTTTGGTTTTTCGATCTACCACAATAAAATATTAGCATTTAGAGTTAGCATTTACAGTCATATTCACTGTCATAAAATAAATCTATATATTAAAATTTAACAACCAGAGAAATTATAAAGACACATTTATCACACACAACTTCATTTTAATTTAAATTAAAAGTTATTTCTTTTGTGGAATTATCTCTTGACCACATAGGCTGTAGATTGTCCTTGTTATGTGTTCCAGGAGCACCATCTCAATTTAATTTAAAGTTGTCTTCCTGTGCATTTTCTCACCGATGGGACTTCCTTAACCATTACCTCTGCCACACAGCTGGTCCTGCTTCCATTCAACAATGACAGATAAATTCTTAGGGAAAAACGCATCACTAACATGCAATTACAACACAGTGTAAAACCAGGGGACCCAGCAGGAAAAGCATATTGTCTACTCTTTTAGAAGTCAAATGCTAATACCAAAATAGTACATATAATTAAGAGGTAACTATATTTCCTTGAATTTTTTCTGAATGATGGTAGATAAAATCACACATTTCTGATCACAAGTAAAAAGTACTGTTGTTATATTTTATTTATCCATAGGAACTAAACCGATGCAGATGGTAAGAACATTTTATGGGTAAGGTATAATAATTTGCATCCATTCTAAAGATTCTCAAAATACAATATGCATAATGCCTCGTGAGAAAGTAATTTATAAACAGGAAAATCAGAAGCTAGGACATTTGGGGGCAGGTCCTTGGAAGGAATATTGAGACCCCAGGTCCTTCCTGTCTCTCTCTCTCTCTTTGCTTCCTGGTTGACATGAAGTGAACAGCATCTTCACTAAGTGATTCTGCCAAGATATACTGTGATGCCATAGGCCTGAAGTCCATGGAGTCAACCAACCCCAGAATGAAACTTCTTAAACCATAAGCCAAAATAAACACTACCTTCTAATAAGTTTTTCTTTTATTTACAATGCATTTTGTCAGGATGATGGAAAGCTGACTAACACAATAAATAAAAGCCAAGTATTTGCATATAGGTTTTATGAGCTGACATTATGAATTCGATGCATGACCAAAGTAGGGTGTCTTTGAATTAAGTGAAAACTCTTCATTGTTTGGTACCACCAAAGAGGCCCAAAACACTAATACAAGTACCATTTCACATTATCCTGAACTCTTTTATTGGTTAAAAGTAAATACATACAAAATAAAGTGATAATGTACCCAAATAGACTTAAAGAAAAGTATACATTTGGTTTTTACTAATGAAAGTTTCAAATTTTTAAAAATATATACAGGGTGTGACTATACATGGAAACATTTTAATAAATGAAATAATCCTTTTTCTTTCAGTAGTAATTATGATAAAGATATTTTTAAAAATTTTAATGTAATCCCCAAATGCGCTTAGAGAACAAATTTAATAATGAACCAGGCAAAACTATAAGAAGTAAAAGAACCATATTTAAAAAAATAAATGCATCATCTAACCAAAATTAATTATTTTGCATATTGATACTAATAGCTTATAATTCTTGAAGGTAGTTAAAACAATCAGATGTTTATTTTTTAAAACTTATCACAGTGAATCTAATTGTAATCAGCATAAAAATTTTTACTATAAGGGAAATATTTCTAAGATTTCTTAGTGGCAAAATTGTTTGAATATGAAAAACTCAATGTAACATATTTTCAAAGAACTTGTTTTGTGCGCGTGCGCTCTCTCTCTCTCTCTCTCTCTCTCTCTCTCTCTCTCTCTCTCTCTCTCTCAGAGTTCTACATAATAGGAAATCATCACACCCAAGGATGTCATATTCTTGAGATTTTATTTTGGCTAAATTTTCCATCGAAGTGTACATTTATTTAGAACTGGGAAAATGCAGAGTTTAGAGATTTCACTGTCTGAAAAGTGGTTTGAAGTATAGAAGCTCATCTAAGGTTCAAGAAATTCATATAAGGATTTGAAGATGATAAATATGTTTGGGGGAAAAATCAATCTGAGAAAATATCTAAGTTTCAGGTTTTGTGGTTTTCTTTGTGTTTTTTTTTCTGTTGTTTGTTTTTTAAAAAGTATAAAGGAGCCTATATTGTTATCCCACAATGATGACACTTCAGTTCTATGGGTTTATTAGTTTTGTGGGGTTAGGAAGGGAAGTTTGAGATCTGTTTTTCTCCATTTCCTTGAAAATACTACTTTGAGATGTAGTTTGCATTTCTTATAAGTATAAGGTGTATATCAAGTTTGCACACACATACATATCCTCTGCCCAGGGCTATCAGATCTTTCAAAGACTTTTCTGGAAGCACTGGAAAGGACATTTTTATTAATATTATTTCAATGAAATTATAATACAACTTTGCAATCTTGACAGTAATAGAATATAGGATGTATCAGCAACTAAATCCAGCATGATGAGAACTTACAATGGTTATCAAAAATGAAAGCCTTTTTATCGCAAAGATCTCATCTTTCTAATCTTCTGTGGGCAAACGTTTTTTATTGGTGGTTAAGTTACCAGAGATTTTTGCCAAGATATAAGAGGCTAAGAAGCCTACTTTTATAAAAGTTATAATTAATCTAATTCAGTTAATAAGTTACACTTAATAAGATGAAGTTTCCTGATTGACCACACTACTCATCTAGTCAGTTATTTTCCCCAGGTCTTATTCTGAAAGAATATTACAGGAAAAAACATATTTGGCTTAATGAAATAAAAAGTTTTATTTATGTGAAGAGGCAATACTATAAAATGAAAGTTGTTTTTTGGGTTTTTTTCCTCCCAGGGGAAAAGGTAGGCATCTTTTCTCCTTATCATAGTTCAGGCTAGATGTCAAGTATGTAATAAAATTTGTATGCCTTTATCTCATGATAAGATGAACTGTTTTTTGAGAGGCACAAACAAAAGTATTTTAAAAAGTCTGTTTGTACATTAAAATTAAGTACCCAAATAATCCATTAGAAAAAACAAAAACTAGAATAAAACAGCATGGAAAATATATATCTCTTACCAAGCTTCAACAAATTGAATAAAATATCAACACATTTTAAAAATCCTTAATGTATTTTGAATAACCACAAAATGACACAATTCTCTTTTCTATTCTTACACGAATATAATTAACTTCACATATAAATAATAAATTACTCCAAATCTAGTTTAGTAATATTCTGATATACAATTGACTCGTAGAATTCCAAACACTTCTCAAAACTTCCATAAGACCCCTTTAATTTTAAAGCACTATATAACTTGAGAATTTTAGGACAGGATGAATAATCAAATGTCATAAAATTGAAGTAAGAGAATCATCAAAGGTGAAAAACACCTGGCCTATTTAATAGGAACATGCAAGATGGTAGAGAAAATTATTTTCAGAGAAGGGGAAATATAACCACAGTTAGGAGAAGTATACGATTTAGAGTTTGACAGTTCAAAACAAAGTGTTAAATTTATATAAAATAAAAACAAAAGAAATAATATTCTTCCTCCCAGTTTTCCCCCAAATTTCTAAATAGTTTGAATTTATTTACTACTTTAAGACAATGAAAAAAATTTTAATACAAATATTTGGTCTTCAGGGTCATCTGCCTTCAGGCCAAATGGAATGAAAATTAATTGGAAAGTGGTTCTGTCTTGATTGGCACTAAGGACTGTAATTCAACACATTCCAGGTTTTATTAGCAATAAAAAATAGAATTAACAAATTTTTCTGTGCTGAGATTATTAACCAAAACAAAGATATTTTATCTAATGTTTAATTCCTACAATGAAACTAACAACAAAACTCTTCTTCATAAATTTCTTAATTAACAATTTTTAATACCCAAGATTTTGAGTTTGTTTAGTTGTAAGCTAATAATAACACTGTTCCCTAGAATGGTGACTATAAAGAATTACACAGAACTCTAAATTAGCATTCAAATACAAATATTTCTGAAACTTTATTAAACAAAGAGAGACAACTAAGCCAAATTCATAATTACTTTACTCCCACAACTTGCTTCCTGTATTCCTTTTTGTTTAACAAAATATATTTTTCTTAAATTCATTTATAGAGTAACAGGTCTGTTTTTTTCAATATCTTTTGGTTTTCCTCTGATATCTCTTTTTTCCAACTTACTTAGCGTCTTTACTTATCATCTTCTCTTTATCAGTAATTACTTTCTTTTCTCTTTTTATTAATTTTGTACACTTTTTCTGAATGTGCTTGTGACTCTCATTCATTCTCTGTCATTTTTATCATTTTGTAATATTTTTGCTAGTCTTATTTTTAAGGATCAAGTATTTTTTCTTTAAGCTCAAATATTTTATGTAGAAAATATGCCACAATATCAACACATTTTCATCAAATAGCTAAATTCAGTGCTAATTTTGTATTATACATTTTAACTTAAACTATTAGCAAATCATTGCAATGAATCAGTATGTAATCATATTTCAGTAAATTTAAACATTTATCTTCAAGTTGGAATTGCCTGTGTGGAACATAGTACCAGTCTAACATGATCTGTGCAAATTACTTTAAACATTTGAGCAAACACATACAAGAACATATTTGATCTATCACAGTAAAAATATTGGAAATATCCCAAAAAGTCCTTTTTGAAAATTTCATATGTTAATGCAACTGATTCATAATTCATAATTCAGAGAATAAACTTTCATAAACATGACTAACTTATACAGGAGAATCTGATTTTGGGAGCAAAAACACTATTTTCTTTGTTATTTACTTTTTACATTTTAATGATGGGGGAATTAATGAAGACCTTATAAACAATACAAGACAACTAAGGTTTAAAATATATAATATTTAACTAGAATCTAATATGTCTTGATAGAGGAAGCACAGGTTATTCTGCTAGACTCAAAGGTGAATGCTGAAAAATACAAGTGTCTTGTGCTACACATGAAAATAATCACATTCCTCTGTCAGTGGTGGAAGCCAAGTATTATTATACAACATTACCTGATATACAACTTAAACTTAGCTGAATTATAATTTTCTGAAAAGTAAGCAAGCAAATTTATTTATGTTAGAGAATAGAAAAAAATGAATTTTAAGAAGACAGTTGCATAATTTAATATTCTTCTGATGTTTAAAGAATAAGTCATTTGAACTAAAATGTGTTTTAATCTGATTTTAAGAATACAGTGCTACTATTATATACTCTACATGCCACTGAAACAACCAATATTCACAAGAGATTGTAAAATGAAACAAGGGGTTTGCTCAGTCACTCATCATAGAAATTTCTTAGTAAAAGGATGGCCCAGGAAAAAGAGCAGTATTTTTGACATGACTGGGACTATTAAACATAGTATGTTTTAAATGACTTTCTGTTGAAATGGACACTCATGATTGCCAGCCAGTATAGTCTAACAGCACTGACATTGACTTTAGAAGCAGTCACTGAGAATTCTCAATGCAAAATTATAACCTTCTGAAAATGGGAAGAACTGCATGTGAAGTTGGTCTCAGTGCTCTGAGATACTGATAATGGTTTATACTCCTTTAGTATTATGAATGAAAGAGCACATGTTTGAGCTAAAATAACATATTTAAATGCTACCCTAATAATGACAACAAATAGTAAAGATTTGATTTATCACATCAAACACAGAGTTAAAGCCAAATTTATCTATCATCTATGTTATGTTCTTCCTTTCATAAAGACCTATGTAAATGTTCCATTAGTCTTTAAGGGTAGCTCCACTGTCAAAAACATTGAGATAAAGACCTTATTCAAGTAAGAATACTATTATGATTAACTCCAATTTCCTTTTCCTATGTTTATCCAAAGTACATATACAAGTGGACAGTAAGTACATGAGAAAAACACTCAATATCATTAGTCATTAGGAAAATGCAAATAAACAACTACATGCCCCACTAGGTTGCCTATATTTTAAAAGATGGAAAATAGAAAATAACAAGTTTTGCCAAGAATGTGGAGAAATTAGAACATTCATACATTGCTAGTAGGAATGTAAAATGAACATTCATACATTGCTAGTAGTAGCCACTGTGGAAAACAGTTGGACAGTTTCTTAAAAACTTAAGTTAGAATTACCATATGACTCAGCAATTCCATTCCTAGGTATGCACACAGGAAAAGTAAAAATATCTCTTCATGTAAACAACACTTGTACATTGATAATAGACAAAAAGTGGAAACAACCCAAACTTCTATCAACTGATGAATGTGATAAACCCATTAATGAAATACTATTTGGTCAGAAAAAGGAATGAAGTCATACACTACAACATGGATGAGCCTTGAAAACATAACAAGTGAAAAGAACCAGATATAAAAGCCCATGTGTTGCATGAGGCATACCCATAGGAATCCACAGGACCAAAAGCAGATAGCTAACTGTCAGGAGATGAGGCAAGAGGAAATTGAAACAAATTCCTAACAGGTATACAGTATCTTTCTGAGAGGATTAAAATATTCTGATATTAGATGGTGATTACAAAATATAGCATATTACAAAATACATTAAAAAACACTAAATGTACACTTTAAAATGTGAATAAGTGTTATGTGAAGTATATCACAATAAACAAACAACTATGCTAATCTAGCAAGTTTTCTAAGACTTTTATAATTAGAAAAATATCATTTAAAATAATCAAGAGGTTTTTTTTCTATTTTTGCCTTCACCATATTAGCACACCCAAAAATAGCAGAGAAGAAAAAAAGTTATAAATTATATTTAAAACTTAATTAAATTTAAAACTTAAAATCAACTATACTTAAAACTTGAGCAGTTTGGAATTGTTATGCATCTTGGATTATCATGCTTAACACATGAAATATTCACATTCACATTAAAACTCAATAACTCAATTACTTGTATATTTGAGGGGAAAAACTTCTTCAAATAGGAAGCTAATGCCTTAGAGAAAAAGTTCCATGTACTTGTTCACAGCATATCTGGGTTGACAAAATTGCTCTTTCCAGAGATAACTACTATCCCACTACCTTTTTCCAAAATGCCAGACCTAGGTTTGAATGTTTAATATATCAGACTTTAATTTTATAATCAAAATGTTCATAAAAATATGAACACTGAAACTGATATGCTCTAAAATACATGCACAGTAATCCCTGCTATAAAAGTATTATTTCACAAGAAATTTGTTGATATTATTCCTCTAGTAAGGTTCCAAAGTACATAAAATGTTCCCATAATCATTCATCTATAGTATAGGAAGACTCTAATAGAGTAGTCCCTTCTTTATACATGGTTTCACTTTCTGCAGTTTCAGTTTCCCAAAAGCAATTATAGTATTAAATCATCTTACATGGTCACACAAAGAAAAATTAGTACAGTACAATAAGATATTTTGAAAGAGACAGACCATATATATATTCATATAGCTTTATTATAGTATATTCTTAAAATTGTTCTATTTTATAATTATTATTACTGTGCCTAATTATAAATTAAACTTTATAATAGTTATGTATAGGAAAAAATATATACATGGTTTGATACTACTCAGTTTCATACATCCAGTAGGGATACATACAGTAAGGAATGTATCCCCTGCAAATAAGGGGGATCCACTGATATTGTCTTCCCAATATCAATGTTATATGATGTTTTAGTATAGACATATATACAGAATCATATGCATACTAAAAGTTAAATTATGCTCTTATTTTTCTATTTATAACTATAAATTTACAAACAAAAGAAAAAAGATAGATAACGACTATAGCACACAGAGTTAGTTCTACTTACTGCTGAGGAGCCCAGTACAGATTTTGGAGACCTAATTATTCCAGCAATTGAATGACGAATAGATTCAAATTTGGAGAGCCTCTCTTTTCTTTCCTGGAGGAATTAAGACACAAGCCTTCAACAATAGTAAACTAGCCAATACATACACATTTTTGTATTTATGTATTTATTCACAATTTATCCATCAAGTTTTCCACTTAAGTCAATATAAACTTTCTGACATTAAGGACAAAAAATAACCAAGTTCATATAAACTCTATAGAAATTTCTTTCCTGGACCCTCAATAAATGTCTTGAGTTGTAAAAAATAAGAAAGAAATTAATATACAGTTTATAGATAAAATAAGAAATACAAAGGATATGCTAGGAAAACAAAGTATTAAATCTCTCTCTCTTTCTCTCTCTCTCTCTCTCTCTCTCTCTCTCTCTCTCTCTCTCTCTCACACACACACACACACACACACACACACACACAAGGAAACAGCATAACAGAAAATTTCATATAGCATTATTGTTGTAAAAATATTTCAGATAATACTATAGTTGTAAAAAATTTTCAAGAGAAAGAACAGAAGGAAAAAGGGAGATTTATATGGAACACATTTTTAAAGTGACTTCCACTTAAGTGCATGGTCAATTTCCCAAAAATTCACATCAGGATGATGATAAGGGGGAGGATCATGATATGATTGGTGGTAACAATTCGGGAGTGGGGATATTAAGATAAAAAGGCAGCAGTGGCTGAACTAACACTAAGAAAAGTCAATCTGTATTTAAATTTGTTTCAGAATGTATATTTCTGAATATCATATATCACAACTGAAAAAAAAATTTCCTTGAAATTTCACAATTTCAGATCCATTTTACACTCCTAACTGAATGGAATAGGTAAGAGGGAAACAAAAGAGAGGAAAAAAGGATAAGAGGAAAAAGGGAAAACTTATGAGGGTTTGCAATGGAAGCACTGGTCAATTTCCATACAAGAACTACATTTCAACTGTTAACAGCAGACAAAGAACAAGAGATCCTGTTGTCAAACAATACTTCCATGTCTTTCATTAGTAGTGATGCTCCATTTTACTTGTGGAAAATACCTAAGCAGGCCACAACACCTTTTGTTTCCTTGTCTCCAATAGCAGGGTATGTCCCTGTAGTAGTAAAATTAGACATTCTTGGCTACCTTATAAAATTCAACTTTCACCTCTCCACTTACCTACTCCTACTTTATTTACTTTTCCTTCTAACAGATATAGAGCTAATAGTTCTGATTAGTCTATAAATATATGCATATAATCATTTAAAACAATATTAAGATAACTTTCTAACAGAAGAGATGAGTGCAACTTCATTATCACATAACTTGCTTAATTATGTGAAAATTAATGTGAAAAATTTTTTACAACTATAGTGGTATCTGAAATATTCTGTTATGCTGTTTCCTTAGTGTGTATGTGTATGTGTGTGTGTGTGTGTGTGTGTGTGATTTAATTCTTTGTTTTCCTGGCATATTCTTTGTATTTCTTGTTTTATCTATAAACTGTATATTAATTTCTTTCTTATTTTTCCTCAAGACATTTATTGAGGGTCCAGGAAAGAAATTACTATAGAGTTTATATGAACTTGGTTATTTTTTGTCCTTAATGTTAAAAAGTTTATATTTGACTTACATAGAAAACTTGATGGGTAAATTATGAGTAAATACATAAAGATAAAAATGTGTATGTTTTGGCTAGTTCACTATTGCTGAAGGCTTGTTTCTTAATTCCTCCATTTAAATTAATTTCATCATGTATCAACAAAAAATAATATAAACTTTCAGGTGACTTACAAGTAAATTACTAAAAACAACTGGAAATTCAGACTAAAAAGCATATACATATTTAATGTACTTACAGAAAATAAATCTTTACTGTTGTACAAATGATCATCACCTTAGAAATGTGAGCATGCACTTTACATCCAAGCATTAATCGAAGCTGTAGCTCCAGTTTTACTTTTTAATAAAAATCACTATGACTGAACCACAAAAAGGGCTGAACAATGAACAACCATGAAGTAGTGATCTTTTTCTTTAAAACATGCTCCCTTCCTCAGCTTGGGTTTGTTTTTGTATGTGTGTGTGTGTGTGTGTTTGTGTGTGTGTTGTTTTCTTTTTGATGCTTCCGAAGTTCTCTGAAATAAAAAAATGGTTAAAACAACAACAACAACAACAAAATTAGAAGCAGGATATAAAGAGAGTAATAATGGGAGTAAAGCATATTCAGTTGTTCTATAATTAGATTTATTAAGAAATGTATTGTGATGGCGTGAAGCACACACCCTGGAAAGCACCGAAGATACCATAGTTCTTCCAGTCCCCAGCCCCATTTATCCTTTTTCTTATTTCTTTAGGGACTTTCTTTACTTGTTCTGTGCAACTTTAGAAATCGTCGTCTTGCCACTGCAACTACTACAGAAAGATGAGATCAAAGTGCTCATCTCATCTGTTTTGGCAACGAAAAGCTTCACAAGAAAGCAGCAGGCACTTCTACTGTGAATTTAGGTTTTTACTCTAAGTCAATGCTCTTGGGATAACCAGACAGAGTACTGTTACTATGTGAGAATACTAGAAAAACGATGGAAAACTGTAAGGGAAGTCATACAAAAGAGCAGAAAATTCAGGGGAGATTTTTAAATATTAGCATTTTATTTATATATGAATTATATGCACTGAGATGGTAGATATTAACTCCCTCAGGTTACACCTTAGGTATCAAATCCTAGCAGAAAAGAGAATCCTTTCCCATAAAACCCTTTAACATTTTCTTAAGAGGATAATACTGGATTTATTTACGTGGTAGATTAGAATTATCTAATTGGTAAATCCAGGTATGGGATAAAAAAGACTTCAAAAACTGCTGTTGTTATAAAACATAATATATTGTGTATTTAAAAGCATACAGGGGCTGGAGTTGTGGCTCAGTGGTAGAGTGCTTGCTTAGCATGCATGAGGCACTGGGTTCGATTCTCAGCAGCAGAGAATTTATTGTGGCTCAGTACAAATGAGTAAAATAAAAGTCCATCAACAACTTTAAAAATTAAAATAAATAAATAAATAAATAAATAAATAAATAAATAAATAAATGACTGAATAAATAAATAAATAAATAAAAGCATACAATTAGTAAAAACACCCTTTCCTTTAAGGTACTTTTTAGACAGGTTAATCTAAGAAATAATAAGACCTTAAATTTCATATAGGAATAATCGAAATAAAAATAGGGTTCATAAAAAATTTCAACCAGGGTCAGCTCACTTGCTGTCCAAATTTCCCATAATAAAACATAAAATTAATTTGCCAAAGCTTCTGTGTATGTAATATTAAATAAAATCTTTAAATTATAATCTACATAATACCAAATCACATTGCACTGACTTCACTTCTATTTTTAGATGAAAGAATTAAATGGCTACTTTAAAAATTAAAATTATAAAGTTTTCCTTCATTTACCATGGACACAGTGCCTAAGTGTGTCTGTAGGTCTTCCAGGGCTGGTGTTGATGATAGGTAGCAGATGGACATGAATATTAGTAGGACATGAGGTTAAGGCAATAATTCTGTAAAGTGGTGCTACCTACTGGCATTCCACATGCTTTCTCTTAAAAAGCAATACAATACCAAAGAGCAACTTACTGAAGGCCATCCTGGTCCTGCTCTGGCTTAAATCAATAGGATACTGTTACATTCCTCAGCAAACACTCTGTTATCTGAAGGAAGGTAAGACTTTTCCCTGGTGATAAGAATATAGTTTACTCTGAAGGGGGAGTTTTCTGACCTTCACACAGACCAAAGATTCCAACACTCAAAAAATGAGATAATTAAAAGCAAAGCCCATCAACTATAAAATCTGAAAAACAAGTTCTAATCAGAACCAGTCAGCACAGGCCAAGGCAACTAAAAATTGCCTTTAGATATTTGACATATCATTTTAATCCTATTATAATAGTAATTACCCTTCCCTGTGAGTTTCACTTGGGTCCCTGTGGGTAAGAGCATGTGCAGTAGGGACTTTAAGACAATCCAACTGTCAGTTAAAAGCTGAGATATGGTATTTGGGTGGGATATTCTAGAAACTTCCCTAAGATCCCCAGTGAAATTAGGAAACAAGGGATCACTGCATCCCTGTACTCTTTGGGAGGAACTACTCTCTCTCTCTCTCTCTGGAAAAAGTATTTTCCTTTTTCTCTAATAAACTTTATTATACTTCTACAATTTTTTTTTGTCTTGCTAGAAATTTTCTCCTGTAAGGGACTCAAGATCTGAGAGAAAAAACAATTGCTGGGCCAAAGCTGGTAACACTCATTTTACCTACCCCAAGTAATGACTAGATAAAGAGCTTTCTCCAGGTAAAGGACGCACAAGGATTCTAACAAAAGGCAGTTCCTCACAGTGCAGGAGGTCTGCATCAGAGAAGGAAGACTGAGAGAGCCAATGCTATGAAAAATAATAAAATAATATTGGGATCAGATGCAGGAGAAAATGTTGTAAGTACAGATATTAACCTACTTGAAAGAAAAGTTCTAGATGCAGTTTTGATTTCACATTTCATTTAAGAATAGTGTTTCCCTATTTTTAAATTGAATAATAATAAAATGAGATATTCCCTATCTCCATACTTGTGTGTCATTCATATATACATATATATATATATTTACACCTATAAATTTATATTATAAATAATATTATATAAATATATATTTATGTAAATATATATTTTACTAAGAGGTTCATTTTTTTAATGCTTCATTTTATTTATTTTTATATGGTGCTAAGGATTAAAGCCCAGTGCCTCACACATGTTAGGCAGGCACTGAGCTATAGCCCCAGCCCCAACAGGTTCATTTTTATGTCAAAGAATTAATGGCAGCTTTAAAATAATTAAAATTAAAAAGCTACCCTTCGGTGTAATTACCATGGGTATAGTGCCTAAGTTTGTCTATATGTCTATATACATACATATAAAATCGAAACTATTTCACAATTAAAATTTAATCATTATCAATTATTTTTAAAACTCTGTAAGAAGCAATACCTAAATTTACTCAAAACAAAA